CAAGAGCAAACAAGCGAGCGCAAGCACGCAATAGCAAGCCAGCAAGTGCCATTGGAAAGAGGGGGGGCATTGGAAAAAGAGAGGGTGCCATTGGAAAGAGGGGGGAGCCCTAACGACCAATTACTTTTATCAGCCAGCGTTGACTCCATATAGATAGGAGGACAGGACGAGGACGAGAGGAGGATGAAAGGAGGACAAAAGGAGGACGGGAGCAGGACGGGAGGAGGACGGGAGGAGCAAAATCAAGCACGCGCAAGCAAGCAAACGGAAGCAAGCAAGCGCAAGCGAACAACAACAAGCAAGCAAGAACCAGCGATCAAGTCCAAGCAAACAAGGTCAAGCAAGAGCAAGCAAGCGATAGCAAGCACGCAAGAGCAAGCGAGCAAGCAAGAGCACGCAAGAGCAAGCAAGGGCAAGCGAGTCATAGGAATCCATGGGAATCCATCCGGGTTCGCTATTGGAAATAGCTGGGGGACGCCATCGGAAAGAAGGGGGGGGGCCATTGGCAGAAGGGGGGAGGAGGGGGCGCCATTGGAAATAAGGGGGGGGCCATGGAAAAGGGGGGGGGCGCCCTAAAGACCAATTACGCATGATGAGCTAGGACCCCATATAGGGCAAGCCTATTTGGAGAATGATGAGCTAGGACTCCGATAGGGCAACCCTATTTGGAAAATATATCCTGCTCCTGCCGCAGCGCAGCATGCAGCCCGCACGTCACATCAGAGGATTCTGGACTAGAACGACCCCGTTCTGGACGGGCCAGTTCTAGGCAAGAACGGGCGGGTGCTGTCCCAGGGCGGCCCCCGTACAGGACCCGCCCCACGACCCCGCCAAACACCCGGACAAATATGGGGCCCCACCTCCGACCCACAGGCAATGGGGCGGGTGAGAAGTCCGAGCGGCCCTGGAGATCCCAGAACAAGGAAAGCAGCACATCGCTTTTCTAGAGGCCCCCCTGTCCCCACACATGCAACACATGAAACCCTTGCCCACTCTAGCTAACTGGGGGCCAATCGGGTCAGGCATCAGTGCAAGCAGGGCAGGTTTGGCACGGACAGGCTTACGATGCTTCAATGCACCTGGGAAGCTCAACTTAGCTAAGCGGCCGAGCACCCTCGGGATCACAATCGCCGTCTGCCGAATCTTAACCCCCTATCACGTGGTACTGGGTGCGAACGCACGGGTAGTTGGCCTGCGCGCGAGCTCCCACTTTAGCGAGACGGTCAGCATCACGGTTGCCAAACCACGCCGAGTACTCCACCTGCGTCTTCTGCCAACGTCCGGTCGAGGTGCGACTTCACTGTTGGCAAGACTTACATTCTGGATGCCGATGCCCTCGGCTACCCGAGAGATGTCGTGCCACGATTCTGAGAGGAGAAAAAGCGCCCTCGTCAACTCCTGAGCGGCTCCTGCGTTCCAAACATCCAGCACCATCTGACAATAGGTGGCAATCACCGTTGGAGTAGCTCCTGAATGGCAAAGGGCAACGAGGGGTGCATATACTTCGTCATAGCCTGCAAGCTGCTACATATGTGGCAGAGGTCCGCGCGAACTCCCAGTGATGCCCCCTCCCACATCCACACCCACAACAGCAGATCCTGCCATCGCAAACAGTGCTGCGCTGCTGATCTAGGCCCGTGCCGTCGATGCACACATAGCCTGCGTCGGGCCTTCCGCCGGGCGGGAAACAAGACCACTTCGGCTCAGCGTCGAGACGTGGGTTGGGCCAGCTCCACTCTGTACTAACGTGAAGACATCTTGTGCAGCCTAGATCGTTATTGCTAGCTAGACGTGCTTCACCCAGATAACTGTCGAGGTCTAGGCTGATCACGCATCCGAAGTGCCCGCGGGCTCTTGCGCCTGGCGCTTGGCGGCGCCGCTGGCGGCTGCCGCCAATGACTCGCGGATCACCAAAGAGCTGGTTATGCGCGGCGATCCACCTGAACTGCAGGCGCAAGTCGCCCCGCAGAGTCCTCTCGGCCATTCGCCCTCTTCTCCCGACAAAAAGTAATGCGAGGCTCCAAGCAGGGGGCACCTGAAAAACCTTTGTATTTGCCTTGGGCCCCACCGAGACTCCAGATGAGGCCACGTTGGGTACTTTGCTGGATGCTACTCTTGACCGCACGTCCCCAAGAATCCCAGGACTGGATAGTCCACCTCAGTCTGTCCAATGTGCAAACCACCGCTCCTGCGAGTTCTTGGACATGCTGCCATCCGCGGTCGGGATGGTCAACGCATAATCGAAACACTCCCGGAGCTGCAGCAGCGGTGCCCACCCTTGCTGGACAGCCACGATCCACGTGGCGATGTGGCCTGCGTTCGCCGCGTACTCTGGGTCAGCTCCAGGATCAGCGCCTAGAAAAAAACTCCAGGGTACGGGACCGTCTTTCAGGTGTCCGGAACACAGCTTCGACCATCACGGCCCTTGACTCAATCACCTCCTTGTCGAAGAGCCTGGCGGCCGTGGCCCCGTGGAGCGCCGATGGGCGGGCCCCTGCCT